ATGCTTGACCTCCACAGTCAACAATCTGCACAGAGCATTCAATGCTCTCTGGGCAGACGAATTTGGGTCACCTCCGGTCAACTTGGAGGCCCCCCATCTTTGAAATCATGCTCAGTAGAGTATGATTTCGCCTTTCGATTGTCCAAAAACTTGGACAATCGGGTTCTATAAGAACCCAAACCAAAGGGGGGATTTGGAGGGCGATTAAGAAAGCAAAAAAAAAGGACAGATTCAACAACCAAAATCCTATTTTTCAAACCAAAAAACAGGAACCAAAAATCCTATGTTCTACCAGCAGCTACCCTAGCCAAATCAAAAGCTAAATAAAGAAAATCACAACAACAAAAAAATAGAAAAATCGCAAGCCAATCTTTACAAAAAGAAAAGATTTGGGAAATGGGTTTTGTGGGAAAATATTGGGGGAGTGAAAGGAGGGTTCGGGTAGTGTGAGGAAGGGAGAAAGTTGATTTATTTTGCGTGGGTAGGATCGAAATCAAGAGTAGAGAGGGACTGTCGGCGAGGTAGGCGTGAGGGAGACCGGCGGCAAGGGGCTGGTGAAAAGAGTCGCCGACCGAGAAGGAAGAAAGAGATAGAGAAAAGAGAGCTGCAGGCTGAGAAAGAGAGAAAGAGAAGAGGAAGAGAAGAAGCGTAGACAGAAGGTAGAGAGATGACGCTGAAGAGAGAAAATGGGGAGGAAAAATGAGGGAAGAAGGACAATAGTAAATTTAAATCCCTTGGTTTATGGTTTTCAAAACGGCGCCGTTTCATATATAAAAATTTTCCAGCAGGCAGTCCTAACACGGCGTCGTTTAGAGAGGTGCTTGAAGCACCAAGCGGTGCGTTTTGAAAGAAGCTTGCTGGGCTGTGGAGAGCTGCTGTGACCCTTCACAGCCTAGTAGTTCTTGGGCTAGTCCAGGCCCAAATTAGTTAAAGCCCTATCCTTTGTTGTTGGGGCTTGCCCACTTATCTAACCCAAATGTGTTGTTTAGAGATTTATTTAGTGTAGGTAAAAATATATTATGTGATGTTTCAAAAGTAGAAAAATAAAAATTAAGACATATAAGGCAGTAGATGAAAAAGATGGGTAAATATTTGATTGAAAAAACAGAGCAGGCTAAATAGAATATAAATGTATATATAAAATATATAAAAAAGTAATAAATGAAATAAAGAATAAATGTTTGATCTAAAAATAGTAATAGTAGATCTAGATTAAAAATAAAAATATATGAGCGAAATAAATAAGCATTTAGTAGTAAAAACATAGAACTAAGTAAATACGATAATATCTAGTTATGAAAAATCAAGTTATCTAAAGCAAAACAAATATATGAAAATGTAAAAATATATGTATATTTTGTCGGAAAAAAAATATAAATTAAGCAAGGGGTGAAAATAATATTAAAATAGATAATTATGTGAAAGTGAGTTAAATAAAAAGATGGATAAAATGAAAGGATACGTTTGGCATGTGAATGGAAATAAAATATTTAATTATATAAACTTATATTTATATAGATATATATATGTATAAATAAAATAAAATGAAAGAATGAGGCCTATTGTGAAATTATTAAATGTAAATCTATAATGTTTGTCTTGGAATCTACATCGACGAATGGATGTTTATTCGAAACGCGAGAAGTCATAATTCTGAATGAATTTCTTTAAGTTAGCGATCTTGGTTAAGACTCTACTAGTATATAGGATAATTTTAATTTTAAGTTCCAATGTTCCTAATTTTAAACAAATAAGATTATATATACTTAAGTACCGATTGGTCAAAATATAAAAACAAAGGAATAAGGAAGTGATGATAACAATAAATGTGACAATAATAATAACAATATAAAAAGAAATAGATAAAATACATATACATTAATAATAATAATTATGAAATAAAAGTACTTGATTCAAGAATAGGATTTTAAGGAAGTTCATATAGTAAAATAAGTAAGTACTTATATAGCAAAAATACATAATGAAATAGAAATGGTTATATAAAAACAATAAATAAATGTGAAATATTTGTTCATGGTATATATCTATACAAAGAAAAATAATACAATTTTTAAAAATAACAAACAAATATTAGAATTTATGAATGCATCACGTACCGTTGTTATATTGTTAAATGTCATGGCATATAGATATATCTGTGCACGAGTCAAAGCCCTGATGATGGGACATTTCAAGGAAAATTGTGAAGGCAAGTTTTTCGAAAAAATTTCTAGATGAAAAGATACTTCCGAGTCTCACTAATACGGTAGGAGGGTTCTAAGAAATATATTTAATAAAAGAACTTTTGGTCGTATTAAGATTTTCATTCACAAAAATACTGTTTTTACCTATAAACAATTATTCTGATAATGAGATTTACCTAATAAATTTGTGAAGGTAAGTTTTTCATGTATTTCCCTAAGTGAGAGGATACTTCCGAATCTCACCGATATAATGGGTAGATTTAAAAAGTACTCTCAATAAAAAGTTTTATTTGGCATTATTTCAATTTTATGTCATGTATTTCATAATTGCATCACGTGTATGTCAAACTCGTAAAATTAAATAAAATATTTTAATTTGTTAATAGAATAAAAAATAAAATAAAATAAAAAAATAAAAATTAAAAAAATATAAAAATAAAATTAATGAATTAGGATAACATATGATAAAATAGTACCATTCGTGAAACGAGCATCATATGGTATTAATTTTTCCTTATGCATAATTGTACTTTCGAATCCAACTTTAAAAAAATATATGTAGATTAGTTGTTGTCTTTGAGACGGATCCAAAATCGATTTAGAATTTAGTCGAATAAAACAAATTTAATAAGTAATCAGTTGCATGTAAATAAAAAAAAAAATTGATGATGACTCCTAAATCATCCATGTCTAATGATCAGGTTTCCGAACCCGCATGTTATGACACTTCTAAATATAAATTTATGGTTAAAGCCATGGGTAGTAATCAGTCTGATATTGCAGGAAATGGAATTAGCTAAAACATTGCTGAGACCAACATGGGTTGTTCGTTCGGGATTTGGCAAAAGAATCTTTACTCACAGAGGAGAACTTCGGGTCTGTTAATCGGGTTTTCATTTTGTGCAAAGAAGATAACTTGTTTAATGACGATTTCCAGCGATGGTTCATCGAGAACAGCCAGACTCAAGATGCGAAGGTGATCGAAGTAACTGACCATATGCCCATGCTCTCAAAAGCCCAAGGAGCTCTGCCTATGTTTCCAGGAAATTGCAGAAGAATACAATTAAAATTGCTGCTCTTTTGATAATTAAGCTTAAACCATATTAATATTTTAGTTGGATTTGCACAGATATTATGAATCAAAAGCCAGCTTTGCACACGATCTTCAATAAATGGCAGTCTATAATTTTTGCTACTACATAATGAAACGCCAGCCTTTGCAGTCTTATATCTTGTATAAACAAATCAAATAAAGAAGGACAAAATTGTTTGACCAATATTAAGATATGAAGCTCGTGTTTCCGCAGGGCTGTGGGTTGAACTGAAAGAAAGATCTCAAAATGCAAAATATTATGCAGGAAAAACTCTTAATTTATAGCAGAAAACAGGGTAAAATACTTGGAAGAAGAACTTCAATAACTTTCTCTATGCCTTAAACTATGAGTAAATAAACACACCTAAACTTTTTGTTTTTATAAGCGATTTGTTAGTCTCATAATCATTTGAATCTTTAGTAAGTCAGTCTCATCTCATCATTGTGTCGCAAGATTATTATTTTTTTCTTAAAAAATTAATTTGATGAAGTATACAGTACCATTACTTATAAATCACTTATTACTTACTTGACATAAGACTTTTTAAAAACACCATGCCAACTTACTTGTTAAAAAATTAGACGAGGCAATTACCTCAATTAAATTTAAAAAATTAACATAGATTATTTATATTTAAATAATTAAAAATTAATTATGCATTTGAATTATGAATTAATTAATTAGTATCCATGTTCATTTAATTTTTTATGATTTTTAAAAGCTAGAATTAAAGCCGACATTATTCTATAGAAAAGAAATAAGAAAATAGTGTTGGTGATAAAAATTGCAACGCATGCCAAGCTGTGACGACTTGCAACACTTGAAGGCAAGTCAACGTGGCAAACTAAAAATAATATTATCAGACAGAGACAAGGCATTACTAGCCACAGCTATGGCCCCTTTCTACCAAACGTGCAATAATTGCGACGTTAAAAATTGGTAATTAGTTTGGGTTGTGGCTGTGAGTAGTGGGCCAAGGTTGCTTATGATCACTTTAGACTGGTTTACTTGATTGCTTTTTAAAATAGTCTCGTGATTTAATAAATATTTATGATTTAAATTTTTGAACCGTATCAAATTTTTACATTTTTAAAATGGAATTCAGATCTCGATCTTATAAAAACATTTATAAATCCATGATTTAAAAATTTTAAAATTAAATAAATATGAATAGTTCACAATTTTACCTTCAGAATTACCCACTCGAGTTATATTCACTTTTATTTCTACATAATGAAAAGCTATTAAGTAATTAAGGTGCATATATAAATAAATAGATAATATAATATATTCATTACATTTTATAAAAAATTTAAACTAAGATAAGTTTGTGACCAGAAACATGTATCTAATTCTTTTTCTTCTTAGTACCTTGCACGCCAGTAAAATTTTTTTTTTCAATTACAGTAAACGAGATAAAATATTGTCACCTGAGAACCCCACTTAACATTTTTGTAGTCAATTCAAGCATTACTTAAATTTTTTATTGAAAAAGGAAAATAATGTACGATAATTTTACATTATACAAATTAAACAACGTTTTGATTTTAGCCAAACTGGGATAGCGACGGGCATCTTAATTTCGTTTTGGGTTCTGTCGTGTTGGTCAAATTTTCTTTGACTTTGTCTCTTTGACTTTTCTTTGACGGGCATCTTAATGATCAGTAATTTTTTTTGGTAATTAAGAGGACTGGCCAATATCTAGACCCAACAGACTAAAAGCTCCATATATTGGCGAAGAAGAGCATTTATTTACCAGAAAATAGAAGACAATGACGGAGTTCAGAAAGCAAAAGCATCTTATTCTAGTGCATGGAGCATGTCATGGAGCCTGGTGTTGGTACAAGCTCAAACCACGGCTCGAGTCAGCTGGTCACCGGGTCACGGCCATCGACCTGGCTGCCTCAGGCATCAACATGAACGCAATCCAGAGTGTTCACACGATGTATGAATATACTAAACCGTTGTTGGAGATTTTGGCCTCTTTGCCCCCCGGTGAAAAGGTTATTCTTGTTGGGCATAGCTTGGGAGGCCTGAATTTGGCCCTGGCCATGGACAAGTTCCCGGAGAAGATTTCAGCTGGTGTTTTCTTAACTGCTTTCATGCCTGATACAGCACATCAGCCATCATTTGTTTTGGAACAGGTACGGCCTCTTTGTCCCCCTTTTAACCCTTACAAACCCATAGAGTTCCTGGCAATTTTTTTATAAACTCCTCCTTGTTTTTGTTGAGATTGTTCCGTTACCAGCCCCTTTCAGTATAAGCACTAGTCGCACAGTAAATTTCTTTGAATTTCTACAAACTGTGAAGATTGGCATATAACTGCAGGCACAGACGGAGTGAGGGTTTCAAATTTGAGAAGATAAAAATAAAAAATTTAATATTTGAGATAATAAAATTATAAAAATTTTAAAAAATTAAAAGAAAAATTACAAATATTTAAAACAAAATAAGAAAAAATTTATAAATTTTTAAAATTTTAGGGCGACAGGGGCCCCTACTAGCCCCCTCCCGCCGCTGGCTGCAGGGCTGCAGGGGTGGTGTTAATTAGCTGCCTTATTAAATTGTTGTAGTGTTTCTGAATAATGGAGACTCAGACCACCAAAACCACATGGAGATTTTATTCCAATGGCTGGTGTTTGCTCTGTTCCACCACATGAAAAAGTGAAATACGGTCTGACCAATTATTAAGTTAAAAGTCGCATTCGTGCACCTTTCAAAAAGTATAAATCGCATTTGTACAAAAACAGAGAGATTTTTAAAACATAACTTTCAATTTGTCTTCGTTTTCCTGCAAAGTACTGCGAGAGGACCCCAGCGGAAGCTTGGTTGGACACGGAATTTGCTCCATATGGAAGCCGTGAACAGTCTTTGATGTCCATGTTTTTCGGGTCTATGTTTCTAACACAGAAACTCTATCAACTATCCCCTGTTGAGGTATCTGTTTCCAACCTTTTCGCTCAGCCTGTTTTATATCATTAGTTTATTTTTCATCTCATTATAGTAAATTAAAAAAAAAAAAAACATTGTATGCTTTCGGAAGGACCTGGAACTGGCAAAGGCTCTGATCAGGCCAGGATCGTTGTTTGTAAGCGATTTGTCAAAGGCAGACAAGTTCTCTAACGAGGGGTATGGATGTGTTCCCCGGGTCTATGTTGTTTGCAATGAAGACAAAGGGATACCAGAGAAATTCCAACGCTGGATGATCGAAAACTTTGAGGTTAACGATGTGATGGAGATTAAGGATGCAGATCATATGGCAATGTTCTCAAAGCCACAGGAACTTTGTGACTCTCTGTCAGAGATAGCACAAAAATATGAGTGATATGTTAGCAACAAGATCTGTTGATTTTTATTTGCGGAGTGGATGTTGCTGCTGGGTTGGCTTCATTAGTCACTAGGTTTTGGAGTATTATATTCGAATAATATGAAATAATCCTTGGTTTTTGGAATGAAAACGATCCTCTTGAACTGCCATGTTTGGATACAAGATTTACTAATTCGTTCAATCTAATTAGAAATATAAAAACGCTTACTTTAAATAGTTTATATATAATAGAAATTATCAGGGCAAAAAAAAAAAAAGTCATTGATATGATATATGAAAGGAGAAAGTGCAAGTCATATACAAACATTCAAGTTTATATATATCAATTTACATTTCTTTTCATCTCTTTATTCAATGTTCTCATTTTGGTCCTTTGTTTTGAAATCCATTTACTTTGATTTTCTTATTTTCATTATACTATAACCTAAACACTGATTTTCTTTTCATTAGCTTATAATACAATTCTACCTAGAAATATATGTTTTATACATTTGATGTTTTCCGTTCTGTTTTTGCTTTTGCTTTCATGGTGTGTGGCAATTCATGCAACCTGTCACATGGTACACTTTATACTTTAAATAGAATATCAAAATCACCACTGATATTTTTAGTAGAATAAAACCAACAATAATACATTCAGCGTTAACACTTGTTCCCTGCTTATTAAAACACACTTAATGCGGGTCTACATTTTCTCTGTCGTGTAGCCAAAGGGGTTGTCAAATCGGGTGAATTGCCACTACTGGTAGCCAATCTGCCATATCTAATTCTTTTTAACCAAAAAATGAAAAAAGTTTTATTTTAAAGTAGATTTACATACCTATAGTATTTGAGCATTTAGTTTATTAATTGGTATATTATCTCTCTACTTAAAGAGTAGAGTTTGAATCTACTTTTTCCAATTATATAAAAAAAATCTAACTTCTATTTTTCCAAAAAATGATTAATTTCCAAATATTGATGTAAACCTTAGGTGTAGAGAGGGTTATGTTATTGGTTTTCTTATTAAAAATGACATAATTTTGTTAAAATTATTATACTATTTCGTGGATATTTAAATTTGTCAGTATTAATTTTTTTGGTTTTAACCAAGAATCCTTCCGAGTTAAGACAGACAGCTTGCTTTGTACAATAATTGTTCTCATAAAGTATGGGTTTCTAATGTATTGGTTGGGAAACAATCCCCACCAGCTTCAATCACTTTTAATGCAGTGGACCTTTCTTTGATCATAGAATTTCAAGGTACAAACACTTTGATCAAGGGAGTTTGCATGTAAATTAACTGGCAATTATCTTGATTAATTTCCACCTAGTTTCTCTTTCTCATTTTAATTTGTAATGTCTTTCGTCTTCTTTTATTGGTTTGAAGGACCTGGAATTAGCAAAGGCTCTGGTCAAACCAGGGTCATTGCTTGTAAGCGCTTTGTCAAAGGCAGACAAGTTCTCTGACGAGAGGAACGGATGTGTTCCCCTAGTCTATGTTGTTTGCAACGAAGACAAAGTGATATAAGGGAAAGCCCAACGCTGGATAATTGAAAACTTTGAGACTAACGATGTGATTGAGATTAAGGATGCAGATCATACTGGCAATGTTCTCTAAGCCACAGGAACTTTGTGACTGTCCGTCAGATATAGCACAAAAATATGAGTGATGTGTATACTTTGAAGGGGGTCCTGAAGCAGGAGTTATTAATGAATATCGCTGCTGTCATGGAGGTGTGATGGGGTTATTTTTTATGGGGAGTGAATGTTGTTTTCTGTAGTCACTTGGGGTTGGAGTATTAGTTTTAAATAATATGAAATAATAATTAATTAAGTATACTATTATTATGTAACACGTTTCTCCACTTTCATTTCTTTCTTTTTTGAAAATATCAAATTAAAAAGTATGAAATAAATTATTTTTTAATCTATTTAAGTAAACATATAAACATATTACATTACCATAAAAATAAAATAATTAATTTTCTTTAAAAAATTAAAAAAAATTAAAAATCGATTTTAACATTTACATTATAATTAAATAGCCTTAATTATATATTTTTATTTTTTATTAACATGAAATTAATAGTTAATTGATATTATTTATATTTAATAATTCATATACAATTTTATCAATTATATTGTAATTAAAATTTTTAAAGACGTTATTTAATCATATATTTATTTTATTTAATTAACTGTATATTTGTATGCCACACTTATTTTTTATTTAATAAGAATACATATAGATCATTTTAGTTTCTTCTCTTTTTCCATTTTTTCTTTCCTTTAATGGATTAAATCTAAATAAGGCCAGAGGGGCCTTAATTGTTTTACAAATGTCAGTAAAGTAAGGTGCCTTAGGAACCTTACTCTTTGTATTAGGTAATAAATTGTCTGTTCCATTTGGGATAAGGACATCTCAATAGCTTAGCAAAAGAGAACCTTTGCAACATCAATCTTCTGGTATTGCTATTTTGTGTTGGCGGTGGGTTTTTGTATTAATCAAATCCTTATCCATGAGGAATTAACAACAGTCAAAGGAAGTATCATTTCCTGGCATTTTGAAAGGAATTAAAAGTCAAATTTGTTATCTATCTACAAATGCCCGTCACTGATTAAACTGTCAAATGTTTGGCAGCCTCCTACCAAGGATCTTTCCAGGCTTTGACCAAGAAACCGGGCCAGTTTGGGAACAATAATTAGTAGCTGCTTAAGATTTCCTTCATGAAATTTCTTGCTCAGAACACCATACTTCTCACCTTTCAGTGACACTCACAATTTGTCATTGTACAGCGGGCCAGACTAACTTCATATAAAGGAATCAGAGCAACAAGATTGGCCCCAACAAAATAATGGCAGAGAAGAAGAACCAGAAGCATTTTGTTCTTGTACATGGGCTATGCCATGGAGCTTGGTGCTGGTATAAGCTCCAACCCCTGTTGGAGTCTACGGGTCACAGGGTCACGGCGCTTGACCTCACAACATCAGGCATCAACATGAAGGCAATCCAAGATGTTCAAACATTTCATGAGTACACCAAACCACTGTTAGAGATTTTGGCCTCTCTTCCTCCTGATGAAAAGGTCATTGTCGTGGGGCACAGTCTAGGAGGCATGAATTTAGCCCTGGCCATGGATGAGTTCCCAAATAAGATTTCAGTTGGTGTTTTCTTGACAGCTTTCATGCCAGATACCCTACACCAGCCATCATATGTTTTAGAAAAGGTACTAAATTTGATATGAATTTACTACCTTGTTGCCTTCATATTATTAATGGAAAATATTGGAGGAGCAAAAACAAAAAAAAAGGAAGCCCTACCTGGCCTCTAAAATTATAGTTTCAAATTGACACAAATAACATATTCAAAATTGCCAGAGGCTAGCTGCTTTAGTATCCACACTTTTATTTGAATGCTACCTTGTCACTAGTTTCCTTTGTAACTTTCATTTCAATTGATCGTTAGTGCTAATTCTGATAAGAACTGTTCTCTTTTCTCTGGGTAAAGTATTTGGGAGGAGTTACGGAAGAATTATTGAAGGATGCTCAGCTTGTTAACATTGGCAGCCTCCAAATTCCTTTCACGATAACTGTTATGGGCCCCAAATTCTTGTCATCCAAGCTCTATCATCTATCCTCCGTTGAGGTTCGGCTCTCTCTTTCTTGTCCCTTTTCTGATAAACTTGATTCCACTCACTTAAAACTTCTTCTTTTTTTTTGAGAAAAACTTGAAACTATTTATAGTAACTATTTTCACAGCAGATCTCTTGAAAATATGGAATATTTATTTCTGTTTGATTTTACCCACTCTATCTGAATTGACATAGATTTACATACGTCACAAATCGTGTCATGTCTATGCTCTTTTGAGGGACTTGGAACTTGCAAAGGCATTGATCAGGCCGGGATCATTGTTTACGGAAGACCTGTCCAAGGGAAAGAACTTTTCGGGTGAAGGGTTTGGAACCGTAACACGAGTTTATGTTGTTTGCAACGAGGATAACGTAATGGTTGAGGAATTCCAACGCTGGATGATTCAAAACAATCCGCCTAAAGATGTGTTGGAGATTAAGACCGCAGATCATATGCCAATGTTCTCCAAGACGCAAGAAGTTTGTGATTGTCTCTTGGAAATAGCAAATAAATATTCTCAAGGAAACTGATTGTTTTCGTATAAGCTTTTAGTTCATTGAGTTTTAAGTTGATACGGAATGAAACCAAGATGGGTTCTAAGCTTGTTTCAGGACAGCTCCATCAATGGGCGAATATTCAACTAGTCAAATTAATAAATTGTAATAAATTTAAATATAATGGATGCTTGGGAGATAATGTAAATTTGAATCTGGACTTTGTAAGGTATTGTTTTCAATTTATATTGGTAAGACTAAGAAAAGTCCAATTGCGCAGGAAAAGGGATAACCTTCACAACAAATGCTGATACTGCAATCTTCTGTTATGGTATTGTTACCATTCTTTTATACTTTCACGAAACCACGCATCAGCACCAAGGAAATTTGATTGGTTGTCATAATCACAAATGCCTAATAACAAATTTTTTCCGTTTACAAATCTAAGTTTGTCGAGTAAGGGGAAAACTCAAACCTTGGGCAGCCTCCAAGCACCTTTCCTGGTCTTGAACAAGAAATATCAAGTGTGGACCAATAAGCAGGTGCAAAATAAGTTTTCTTTCTTGGAATGTCTTGCGGGAGTCGCCATACTTTTCAGCCTTTCATTCTCACATTGATAAATTAACGTTCTGTGAATCTCCCCAGGCCCAGGCTTGCCAACTGTATATAAAGGAACCAGAGCAACAACGGTTTGCTTCAAGAAAAAAAAAACAATGGCAGGGAACAAAAACCAGAAGCACTTTGTTCTAGTACATGGGCTGTGCCATGGAGCCTGGTGCTGGTACAAGCTCAAGCCGCAGCTGGAGTCTGCTGGTCACAGGGTCACTGTGCTCGACCTCGCAGCCTCTGGCATCAACATGGAGGCAATTCAAGATGTTCGTACATTTCATGAATACACCAGACCTTTGTTGGGCTTTTTGGCCTCACTTAATGAACAGGCAATAGTTGTGGGGCACAGCTTAGGAGGCATGAATTTGGCCCTGGCCATGGACTTGCTCCCCCACAAAATTTCAGTTGGTGTTTTCTTAACAGCGTTCATGCCAGATACCACACACCAACCATCATATGTCATCGATAAGGTACTGATCAATTTGTTATTTTCTGTGACGTGCATATTTGATACTTACATTTTACAGTTTCATCATGCATCCATGATGAAGATTTTGCGTTTCATCAATCATGGGTCCTACCCCATGCATCCAGCCGTTTAAGTATATCTAAATGGAATCAAATGAATAACTCCCTGTACTTTTCATCGATTCAATTAATAGAATATTTTCCCATCAATTGTTACATAATTTAGTGAGAAAAGTTTCCCGATTCTAATGGAAGAACTGTTGTGTTTTCTGATTCTCTCTTCACAGTATTTAGAGGGAGGCTCAGAAGAGGCTTGGCAGGATTCTCTAACTGTAACCATTGGCAGCCCAGAACAACCTCTTACGATAACAACTTTGGGCCCCAAGTTCATGGCATCCCAGCTTTATCAGCTATCCTCTGTTGACGTAATTCAGTCTCTGTCTTTTTTTATTCTTTTTTCTTGTTGGTAAACTCAATTATGTGAGCCTACTCGTATTCCTCCTACATCAATTTATTACAACAAAATATAAATATGCTTTGATTTGAAATGGTCAGCCTTGAAATAATTGTTAAACATTTCTTTTTTGACATGTATTTGTATGTGATATGTAGTAATTGTGTTTTTTTTTTTATAAGGACCTGGAACTGGCAAAAACTCTGGTCAGGCCTGGATCACTATTCCAACAAGATTTGTCAAAGGCAAAGAATTTCTCGGATGAAGGTTATGGATCTGTAACAAGGGTTTTCGTTCTGTGTGGTGAGGACAAAACGATGACCCCGGAAATCCAACGCTGGATGATTCAAAACTATCCGCCTAAAGGTGTGGTGGAGATCAAAGGTGCAGATCATATGGCAATGTGCTCCAGGACCAAACAACTTTGCGACAATCTTTTGGAGATTGCAAATACATACGCTTAATATTAGTATACTAGTAGATTAATAAACAAGCTATGATATGATGCTCCCTCTTTATTTTATAGAAAGGAAACGATAAAGAATAGTAAAGTATTGAGTCTGATCAGCACATATAAATACTAGGTGGAAAGTGATGCTTTCCTGCATGCCACTAGCTATCTAGCTATTTGCATTGCCATTTGTCACAGTCAATGTGGGCGGCTAACAAGGTTGTGACAGTAGTTCAACTCTGTACATGTGATTGCAAAACTGATAGAAACTTCATTTATTAAAAATGTAATTTTCTATGTATTAGTAGTAATATCCATACCTACTGCCAACAGCTTGCATCCAAGCCAAGAATATTAGAAAAATTAAGTTGACGTTTGATGATTATAACCAATAAATGTACAAATAATTATAAGAATAATAACTATAATGAGACACATTATATAACACATAATAAAAAAATATGAATTAAAACATTCTTTTAAAAAAATCTTAATACTTCAAGATAACTTTCACCATCACACACAAAGTAATATTGGGTCAAAACAATCCTCAAAGTCATATTGGGTCAAAACAATCCTCATCTATTAGGATAGTTTCGAATTATAGTTTGATTATGATAGTTTAATTCTAATAAATTAATATATCTCATTGAGATAGTTTTTAAATCTGGTTAAACTAGTACAACATATCTTAATTGTATTAGAATAAGATTATTGTATTTAATATATCTAATGAAGTTAAAGAGTAGTCATTATTTAAATTTAGAGAAAATGATTTAGATATATATGGAATAAGGGTTTTTAGTTTGAAATTATTTTTGTAATCTTTTGATTTTTCTCTTATTGGGCTTTGTCTGTTATTATGCCCGTGACATAGGTCATTGAAAAATCGAACCATATAAATTTTTTTTATTTTTACGGATGTGTTTAATTTTTTTTATTCTATTAATTGAGTAAGATTTTAAATAACTTTTTGAAAATAATGCCATAACTTTTACAACATCATTTTTATATCATTACAATATAAAATCAGTTACCGCTGTGCATTCAACATGTTGAGATGACCAACTATCATTTTTACAAGGGCATCCGTAAAGTAATTAACCTCTCTATAAATATACTTATATTTGACATCACCAGCAGTCTTTTGTTGTGCAGTTAGCATTCTTTTATACTTTCACGAAACCTCAAATCGCCTATGAGGAAATTTGATTGGTTGGCAAATGCCTAAAACAACTTTTTCCATGTACAAATTTAAGTTTATTAATATAGGCGGCATAAACCAGGAAAACTCACACCTAGGGCAGCCTCCAAGGACCTTTCCTGGTCTTGATCAGAGGCCAAAAATGATATCATTCTTGGAACGTCGAGTTGCCATATTTCTCAGCTTTTCGTTTCCACATTGATAAATTATTGTTCTGTGAATCTTCCCAGGCCAGACCTGCCAACTCTATATAAAGGAACCAGAGCAACAACATTTTGCTTAAAGAAAAACAATGGCAGAGAACAAAAACCAGAAGCATTTTGTTCTAGTACATGGGATGTGCCATGGAGCTTGGTGCTGGTACAAGATCAAACCCCAGCTGGAGTCTGCTGGACACAGGGTCACGGTGCTCCACCTTGCAGCCTCTGGCATCAACATGGAGGCAATCCAAGATGTTCCTACATTTCATGAATAAACCAGAGCTTTATTGGGGTTTTTGGCCTCACTTAATGAACAGGCAATAGTTGTGGGGCACAGCCTTGGAGGCATGAGTTTGGCCCTGGCCATGGACTTGTTCCCCCACAAGATTTCAGTTGGTGTTTTCCTAACAGCGCTCATGCCAGATACTACACACCAACCATCATATGTTATTGATAAGGTACTGATCAATTTGCAAGTTTCTGTAAAGTGCAAATTTGGTACTTACATTTTAGATTTTCATCATGTATCTATTATGATGAAGATTTTGCACTTCTTCAATTATGGGTCCTACACCATGTTTCTGGCATATTGTTACATGATTTGTTGAATGAATAACTCCTTGTACATTTCATCGATTCAATTAATAGAATATTTACTCATCAAATTGTTACAAAATTTGTTAAGAAATGATAAGGGATTCTAATCGAAGAACTGTTGTGTTTTCTCTCGTGAAAGATCTCAGCGGGAGGGTCAGAAGAGGCTAGGCAGGATTTTCAAACTGTAACCATTGGCAGCCCAGAACAACCTCTAACGGTAGCAACTATGGGCCCCAAGTTCTTGGCATCTCAGCTCTATCAGCTATCCCCTGTTGAGGTAACTCTGTCCCTCTGTCTTTGTTCTTTATTGTTGGTAAACTCAATTCCCTGAACCTACTCCTATTCCTTCGTCATCAATTTATGACGACAAACTATTTATCTATAACCGATTCAAGAGTTTGATTTGAAACGATAAGTCTTGAATTAATTGCTATATGTGATAGTAATTTTTTTTTTCTTTTGAAGGACCTGGAACTGGCAAAAACTCTGGTCAGGCCAGGATCACTATTTCAACAAGATTTGTCAAAGGCAAAGAATTTGTCGGATGAAGGATATGGATCTGTGACGAGAGTTTTTGTTGTGTGCGACGAGGATAAGCCATAAACCTGGAATCCCAACGCTGGATGATTCAGAACAATCCGCCCAAAGATGTAGTGGAGATCAAAGGTGCAGATCATATGTCAATGTTCTCCAAGACCAAACAACTTTGCGACACTCTCTTGAATATTGCAGATAAATACGCCTAATATTAGTATAGTATTAAATTAATAAACAAGCTCTAGCAGCTTTTCAAAAAAAATTAATAATAAACAAGCTATAGCTCTGTTAATTAATAACATCCCTCTCATCAGATATCATTGTATTATGATGATGTACATATACTAATAATTTGTTTAACAATGACAATAGTGTAATGAAATATGGAATTGTTGCTTCAAAAAATTTGCATAGAACTTGAACAACTTGCCTTTTCACTCAAAATATGATGTTCCCTCTTTAATTTATCAAGAGGAAAAGATAAAAAAATAGTATAGCAGTGAATCTTATGAGCACATAGAATCAGTATGTGAAAGGTGATGTTTCCATGCATGCCACTAGCTAGATAGCTACTTTGTATTGCCATTAGCCACAATCAATGTGGGCAGCTGCCACGGTTGTGAGAGTAAGTAAACACTGTTCATAAGATTACAAAACTGATAGACTCTTCATTCTATTTAAGTATAATATTTTTCTCTGTATTTAAGAGTCATATTCATTCCTACTGCCCTATAGCACAGCCGCATCCAAGTCAAGAGCCCCCTTTTTACAGTTCTTACAAGATAGCGCATTTCTGAGCTATAAGATGTTTGAATAATTTAGCTTTTTTTGCAACTCTGCACCTAACTTAGCTGAACTATTTTAAAAAGAATAATACTAAAATATTGTTTACCAGTCCATATTCATGACTTTACTTGTAAAATATGCAAGACATTAACTACACCTAGTGATACGGTCCATATCAATCTCTATTTTAGCCCATAAAAAAAAACATTATAAATTTCAGGTGGTGTGAACTTTTATATAATTAGAACATTTAAGTATACAGTTGATGTGGTATTCATAATTCTTTTTTGTAAAACTATGACATCTTCTCTTAACTTCTCATTAAGATTATGACTCTATCTACTGATCAAAACATACTCTTCGATATGGGATTTACATGATCTACTCTAAAACCATGACACCTAACATTGTTGTAGTACATTCTCCACTAGTTCTCGAGCCTTCAAATCACGAATCTGATTGATTTGTTTATAAAAATATTAGTTAGAATAGCATTCATGCATTTTGTTTGGACCAAAGCAATCACATTTGTGTCTCTTCTTTCATTAATGAATACAGCTTGAAAACAAAGGAAATAATAAAATTCGACCCAATTAGACTATGAGAATCGAGAAGGATGCAGGTGAAAATTGATGTCTTATCGTCAAGATGTTTGGTCATATCATTGAATCTACTGTTGGCAGCAAATACATGTGATATTGGTAACCATGACTGCCCCAACATTTTTTCTTTCTCGATTTAATGTCCTAAACTGAGTACTTACTACATATAATGTTTTTATTTTATTAATTTGTTCTATGGTGAATGAATGACTTTTATGGCTTTATAAAATTTATCCTCAAAATTAATAAATATAGGCCTGTTCTTTTGAGTCCGTAAGTAGGAAGGGTTACGGGCGGTTACTAGAGAGCCCAGGGACCTTAGCATTTTGTATAGACTTTTGGGTTTTATTTGCTGTGCCTTGATTTAGGGATGTTACTGCAGATGTGAAAGTAATAAACCTAAATCTTGTTTTGCTTCCAAGCTTCAAGGGTGATTTATTGGTTACTCCTGTTTTGTATATATACTGAATTTTCAAAAAAAAAAATAAATAAATTCTCACTCACTCAAACAAATAATAAAAAATAAAAATAAATCAATCTTAGTCTATTAAATTAATGACTAATCCCCCTCTAACAAAGGGTAAAGGACCAAATCCAATTCCACCCATTCCCATTGGGTCTTATGAATCATATGTAACTAAAAACAAAAGTAAAATAGAGAGAGGAGAAATGGGTGAAGTTTTTGGCATGGAAATTAATTGAGAAGAAAATAGGGTGAGTCCTAATTGATAAGAGACAACATATATTAATTTTATGAAGAATCTGAATGAATAACAGGCTGAATTCATTGGTTGCCTCATATGCATTTGTGAGTTCAACCATGTTTCAACCCCCTAAATGAGTATATCAAGTGAAGTAGCTGTTGAACAAGTTGTTATAAAAGTAAATAATTAAAATTGAAATATATATACATATATATAACTTGTCACAAACGTAATTTATTGCTGTAAACAACTTTCCCTTTATCCATTTGCATCTATTGGACTGGTGAGGCCATCCATTTGCAATTTCCCAACTTTAAATTAGTAAGTAGTAGTTGCAATTTTCCAACTTCTCTGATCATGGTGATCACGATGAGCTGACGGGGTTTCTACATCTCTTGGGTACGGAGTGTGTGTCGTCGAAGAGGGCCTCCCCTTGACTTCTCAGTGTCGATAGGTCAAGTGAGATGTGTTTGTGGTTGCGGTTTGCTGCTGAGGCGGGTGTGACTTTGCTGGGATCTTCCTCTTTTGGGGATCTCTCCTTGGCTTGGGAAGGTGATCGAGCTCCTTCTAGCCTGCTGCTTATGTGATTAGGCTGTTTAGCTTGGGCCGACTGCTCTCTTTTGTGATCTTGGGCTCTCTGCTTTGCGTTTCTTGTTGCCCCAAGCGCGTAGATTAGGACTA